GCTTTATGTCACTCCGTTGGCGGAAGCTCAAACGTGCTGCGTAACACAATAATGAACCTCATTGGTTCTTACGGAAGCTCAAACGTGCTGTGTAACACAATAATGAACCTCATTGGTTCTCACGGAAGCTCAAACGTGCTGCGTAACACACAATAATGAACCTCATTGGTTCTCACGGAAGCTCAAACATGCTGTGTAACACAATAATGAACCTCATTGGTTCTCACGGAAGCTCAAACGTGCTGCGTAACACAATAATGAACTTCGAAGCTCAAACGTGCTGCGTAACACAATAATGAACCTCATTGGTTCTCACGGAAGCTCAAACATGCTGTTTAACACAATAATGAACCTCATTGGTTCCTGCGGAAGCTCAAACGTGCTGCGTAACAATAATGAACCTCATTGGTTCTCACGGAAGCTCAAACGTGCTGTGTAACACAATAATGAACCTCATTGGTTCTCACGGAAGCTCAAACGTGCTGTGTAACACACAATAATGAACCTCATTGGTTCTCACAGAAGCTCAAACGTGCTGTGTAACACAATAATGAACCTCATTGGTTCTCACGGAAGCTCAAACGTGCTGTGTAACACAATAATGAACCTCATTGGTTCTCACGGAAGCTCAAACGTGCTGCGTAACACAATAATGAACCTCATTGGTTCTCACGGAAGCTCAAACGTGCTGTGTAACACACAATAATGAACCTCATTGGTTCTCACAGAAGCTCAAACGTGCTGTGTAACACAATAATGAACCTCATTGGTTCTCACAGAAGCTCAAACGTGCTGTGTAACACAATAATGAACCTCATTGGTTCTCACGGAAGCTCAAACGTGCTGCGTAACACAATAATGAACCTCATTGGTTCTCACGGAAGCTCAAACGTGCTGTGTAACACAATAATGAACCTCATTGGTTCTCACAGAAGCTCAAACGTGCTGTGTAACACAATAATGAACCTCATTGGTTCTCACGGAAGCTCAAACGTGCTGTGTAACACAATAATGAACCTCATTGGTTCTCACGGAAGCTCAAACGTGCTGCGTAACACAATAATGAACCTCATTGGTTCTCACGGAAGCTCAAACGTGCTGTGTAACACAATAATGAACCTCATTGGTTCTCACGGAAGCTCAAACATTCTGTGTAACACAATAATGAACCTCATTGGTTTTCAAGGAAGCTCAAACGTGCTGTGTAACACAATAATGAACCTCATTGGTTCTCACGGAAGCTCAAACATGCTGTGTAACACACAATAATGAACCTCATTGGTTCTCACGGAAGCTCAAACGTGCTGCGTAACACAATAATGAACCTCATTGGTTCTCACGGAAGCTCAAACATGCTGTGTAACACAATAATGAACCTCATTGTAGGGCTGGGCGATAAATCGATTTTATCGATTAACTCGAATGTGTAGTTTACGCGAGTTTACGCCGTTTTTTTTGAATGAAAATCGGTTTTCTCTTTAACAACCGCCGACGCGCCAATCTGGGCTCCCGTAGTTCCGACCGGACTCAGCGCTTTCCATGATAGAGATACACAAACAACAAGGCAAATGAACAAGACCGCGGCAGCAGAAGCACACCCGCCGAAAACATTTACAAACTGAATCTGCAGGGCAGCCAACTCTCACGAGTTCACTGTGAGAGACGCAATTGTCACTTTTTACACGCTCTCACGCACACATCCATTTTCTAACGCAGAGAAACATCGCGCAGAAAAGATCAAGAGGACACTGACACCGACAGACTAGACAGAGCAGGTTATTATTGATATGAAACAGATTCTCAGCTCTCAGATTCGGTCAATTTTAATACGAAATTCAAACGATAAACACAGACAGTTTTGGCGCTTGTAAATGTGACGTGAAAGATCGCTGACAGATCTCAGTTCAAGCGGCACATGAACCGATCATCTGTTACTCTTTACTAAGTACTAACTTACCCAAATGTAGCTAATAAAATCGATCGATCAGTGTTTTTCAACCGCGGAAAGATGTCCATAAAACAGCTGGAGAACAACATATGTCACGTAACGTTACATTTACCTCAGGATGCCTTTTAATGACCCATAGCACGCATGTTAGTTGGACTTAAAATAATTGCTATAGAGAGGAGTATTTTGCTAAATATGATAACTATATTACACATTTATTATATTTTACCTATATCATTAAAATATTATAACGTTGTTTGTTATTATAAAAAACGCATTGTTTAATTTGAGTTAGTTTTAACCTTTAATAATAATAGCTGACAGGGCTCTCTGTATGTTTACAGCATTAGGTGATTTATTTTTGGAGAACAATTAACATAACACATTAACGTATCTACTGTACCTAATATTTATCCAAAGGAATTGATATTGAATCAATATCAGAATCAATATCACAAAATTTGAAATTTGTGTTAAGCAATAATAAAAACAGTAGCATACCAGTCTTTTTGTACCATGTAAACATTGTGTTTATAGTTAATAAACTTGATACAATTATGTTTAGTTACCAAATAATTTGACAATCACAATAAACTTATTGTGATGCAAGTTTTTTTTTTTTTACACATCCCCCCAATCCCCCCATTTTATGTAATGTTACATTTACACTATTTACAAAGACTGGGCCTGCCCTCTTGTCTTTTTGGCTTGTTGTTTCTGATTACACTTTAATCCAGATAATATCCCAGAAGGGAATATCAAAACAAAATAAAGTTAAAACTTGTTTTGAACAATTTCTTTGTCATCTGCAGATTGATTTTAAGTAGGGAGAAAAAAAAAATCGATTTAAATCGTAAATCGGATTTTTGGTGAAAAAATCGGGGATTTTTTTTTTAGGCCATATCGCCCAGCCCTACCTCATTGGTTCTCACGGAAGCTCAAACGTGCTGCGTAACACACAATAATGAACCTCATTGATTCTTAACGGAAGCCTAAACATGCTGCGTAACACACGAAAATGAACCTCTTTTTGAAGCATCGAAGTGGTAGTAGTCGGGACAAAAATTGCTCAGGTTTCATTTAAAATATCTTCTTTTGTGTTACGAATATAAACAAAAGTCTTATGGGTTTGGAACGACTTGAGGGTGAGTAACTGAAGACAGAATTCTCATTTTTGGGTGAATAGATAGTTAAGGAAGTAAGTGGTTTCAATAGTTGTTAAGGAAGCATCTTGTCCTATATTGTCTGCCAAATAAAAAAGTACACTATGATGTTCTGCTGATTTAATGATACCAAATGTTTCAGACTCAGTGTCCTGGAAACACTTTGTACTTTGAGGATGTCCTTTCCTATTATATTTATTGCCTGGAGAAAAATGAATAGGTGGCGATGTAAACAGCACTCAGGTTTAGACTAATGACCTGTCTTAGACTAATGATTCGTTTTTCTAATGATGTCACTTTTCCCATGAGTCTCATTGAAACATTTCAACAGACTGCTAATGTCTGCCTCGTGTACATGAATTCATGATGACGATCAATAAATGCCCTGCCTGAGAAAGAAGAGAATTTGTGTAAAATCCATCTATCCTAAACATTCAGATCTCTACACAAGTAAAGAGAAGAGCTAAATCCTGAGAATAAAACACATGATATTCCCGTAGAATTAAATTCAGATTTGATATTTTGCAATACAGTTTTTAATGTAGCACTTTACATGAAAAAGGTACAAATTTGTGTCCCATTGTCCCAAATTGGTGATGTTTTTTTAAAGCAGTAAAGTCGATTGTTTATAAAACTTTTAGTGTTGAATACATTGGTCTGGCTCAATACTGTTAGCAAAATTATTTATATATATTTTTTTTATACAAGGTAAAAAAATTAAAATAAATAAAAGTGTATCAAATACCTATAAACCAACATTTCCAAACAGTTAATCACTACAAGTGACAGCAAACAGCTACATTTTGGTTAAAACCCTGGTTAACAAAAGACACAAATCCCTCGTTTTTTTTTGGAGTGAGAACTATTAGATATGTTATATGTGACCCTGGATCACAAAACCAGTCACAAGTAGCACGCGTATATTTGTGGCAATAGCCAACAATACATTGTATGGGTCAAAATTATCGATTTTTCTTTTATGCCAAAAATCATTAGGATATTAAGTAAAGATCATGTTCCATGAAGATATTTTGTAAATTTCCTACCGCAAATATAAAAAACATTTATTTTTGTGAATGAATGCAGCACAATCGAGAACATAAATGGACAACTTTAAAGGCGATTTTCTTTCACCCTCAGATTCCAGATTTTTAAATACCGGTAGTTGTATCTCGACCAAATATTGTCATATCCTAACAAACCGTACATCAATGAAAAGCTTATTTGGTAAAAAAAATTACCCATGTGACTGGTTTTGTGGTCCATGGTCACATGTATTGTTGACTGTAATAGTCAAGCTCAACACTATTACCAAAATTACTGCAAGAAAGATAAACAAATAGGCCATTCACATTTAATTCAAGGAATTGTATCAATACCTGTAAAATAACATTATAGGTGTATCAATGCCCTATATTTCAAAATGACAGCTAAATTTAGGTCAAATTCTATTTCCATGAACGCTACAATAAAAAGGCTACACAAATACCACATTCTTTGAGTAGGCTAACCTATTAGATAGATTAGATACTGGTCTCATTGATTGCAACAAGAGATTTTACACACATTTTAGTGTTGACTGCGTTTGTCAAGCTCAACTATTCAACATTGTTACCAAAATTACTATAAAAATTATTAAAATGATAGCCTGTTTTGTAAAAAAAAAAAAAAAAACAGTCTAATATTTATTAGAAATTTAAGTTCAATAACTATAAACCAACATCTGCCGGCCGCGACACACATATTCTGGCAGCCTATATTTTGTTAGGGGTCCAATAGATGAATATTGTCTTTGATAAGCGTTTGAAAATCTGCTTATTTTCAAAGATGCACCACATCCACCCCCAAAACTCATTTGCACATTAGCCTACTGCTGCACTTCCACTTACCGTCCCAATTCAGACTCCAGCTCATAGAAGTCCGCCAGCGTCTCTTTCTTGGATCCATCGATCCAGTATTCAGGAGCGGCTCTAGAGGCGGGCATTGTCACTTTCAGCATCTCCAGCGCTGTAGTTCACTATCAGCGCAGCGCCGACCTGTATAGAAACAACAACGTCAAGAAATGGCGTGGTAAAAGCGGGCGCACAATCTAGAGAGGCAAATGATATACATGATTTTCGAAAGAGTTTGCCATTACCTGTAATGTGTGTTGGTGAGGTGCGCTGAGTGGCCGTGAATGTGTATCGTCAGTTGATCGCGGTTGTCATGTCGCTCTCTCTGAACGAGGCGCGCGCGGCTTCCACTGGGTCTTACTGTCGCCTATGTAGGGCGCTGAGGATGTGTGTGTGACGTGTGTGTGTGTGTGTGTGTGTGTGAGAGAGAGAGAGAGAGAGAGAGAGAGAGAGAGAGAGAGAGAGAGAGAGAGAGAGAGAGAGAGAGAGAGAGAGAGAGAGAGAGAGAGAGAGAGAGAGAGAGAGAGAGAGAGAGAGAGAGAGAGAGAGAGAGAGAGAGAGAGGATTTACCTGGATTCAATGGACGTCACATATTAACTACTCCGCTAAATTTTTTTAAGTTAGATATCATGGCAAATGATATTTAACCATATCGATTTCATCCAAGTTGTTTTACATAAGACACATTTCTGTCTATAAAATGAATAATTGGCAGATTTAGGCTATACAGATAGCTGGGTGAATCTAAGTCTGCCATGACATGAAAAATGGTTATTTCACCCCAAATCAGACTTCTTATTTTATTTACAGATTAAAGGTTTTAATCCCACCGATTTTTTTTTTTATTCTTTACATTTATTTTCAACTGCGTTTTTGAAACGTTTTCAGAAACTAAAAACATGAAAAGAGGGCGCTAAAAATCCGCTCAACAGATCGCTGAGGTAACCATAGCAACAGTGCACTGCGATGGGGGTGCCCAGGCTATATTGATACACGGCAAACGCTAATATAGTACTATAACAATAAAAATATATTGTATTCCAATGTATTCCAAATTCTAATGTAGCACTTTCCATGAAAAAGTTTCAAATATGTGTCCTATTGTCCCAAAAAAAATTTTTTAAATTTTTTTTTAAGTAACGTTAGGCTATTAATTTTTATAACTTTTAGGCCGTTTCACAGACAGGGCTTAGATTAAGCCAGGTGTCAGGATGTCAGCCTTTGTTCATGTCTTGTGTGAGGACTTTTGTGTTATTTCCTGTCTTGTGCCATGTTTTGTAGTTTTTCATGTTGATTTGTCTAGTCTCTCCTGGTGTGTCTTGTTAGTTCCCTTGGTTACCCTCGTGTGTTACCTTGTTAGCCTGTGTATAAATTGCCCTAGTGTTTCTCTTGTGGTTTGTCAGTCGTTGTTTGCTGTTCCATGTTCCTGTCCTGAGTTTCTTTGTTTGCCCTGGATACCTGTTTGTATTGTTATTAAAGTAGTGCTTGCATGTGGATTCTCTCTCCGCTTCATCCTTGCCTCTTCGTTACACCAGGATTAGGCTTTCAAGCTTTGGTTTGCATCTGACATATTTTTTAAGATAGGTCAGCACAAGTTGCAGTTAAAACAACTCAGCATGCATTTTAGTCTGGAATAGGCTTAAGCCTTGTCTGTGAAACCGGGGGTTAGTTAATGTTTACTACATTGGTCTGGCTCAATGCTGTTACCAAAATTATTTTATAAAAGGATAAGTCAATTAATCTTTTTTTATTGTTTAATATAAGGTTAAAAAAAGTTGATCAAATAGCTATAAACCAACATTAGTTAGTACCAATTGCTAGTATTAGTTAGTAGTACTAAGTGGCAGCAACATTTTGGCGTCTTGTCTTGTCAGGTGTCTTTCCTATGGATAAGTACTGTATGGAATGTAAATTGATAAAGTGCTTTCATTATTTATCACTTTTTTATAGATTGTTATGAATTATTATATTTATTACATAAAATAATAATAAAAATACAAGCCATAGAAGCCTTAAAAATTACAAACAAAATTCAATAAAATTAACACACTGCCCCAATTAAGAAATTATATTTTGCATAAAGTCAAATGAAGTCCAATAAGATTTAGGATTTAACGCACTAAACTTTTTTCATGGCCATTAAAGGGATAGTAGTTCACCTAAAAACAATTCTGTCAGTATTACTCACCCTCATGTTGTTCCAACCCCGTAAGACTTTCGTTCATCTTCGGAACACAAATTAAGATGTTTTTGATTAAATCTGAGAGCTGACTCACTCCTTCATAGGCTGCAAGGTAATTTCATCTGCCAGCCCAGAAAAGTTAAAGACATCGTTAAAATAGTCCGAGTGACTACAGTGGCTCAACCTTAAGTTTATCAAGCGACGAGAATACTTTTGTGCGCAAAAAAAATAAATAAAAAAATAACGACTTTATTCAACTATTCATTTTCTTCTGTGTGGGCCTCTGACGTGAGTTCACGAGAGCGCCACAACACATGCGTGAGAACTGAGAAGAGGGAGTAATTCCCGACAGAATTTTCATTTTTGGTGGAACTAACCCTTTAATTAAACAAAATCTCATTACTATAAAAAAAATAATAATAATTTTGGACAAAATGTGCATTAGAGTAAGATTTTTTGTTCAAGTTAATTTTATTTGTTTTTAAAATAGTGTCTGGCAGAAAGATTTACATTATTGTTTTATTATGTTACTTCCAGTTTTCATATATGGCATGAATATGGCAATCTTGAACCACCCCAATACTTTTGCCTATCCTTGGTAGATTATATCAAAGTGCTGTGGCATTACCATCTGATCTGAAGTACTTTTTTGGAAGTGCTGTTTTAAGTAATTCTGAAAAACCATGTTTTATTAAAGCATTTATTACCCCCAGACCTCTGAAGCATGTACATGTTACTTCAGTCTTCTTTCGTTTGGATGACAGCAATCCCTTTACAGATTTTGACTAAATGTGCATTATTGAGGAACTTTTTCTTAAATTTTTCAAATATGCCACTTTCAGTGATGATTTGAATGTGCTATGAGGAAGAAATCACCCACACAAAGTCCAAATATGTACTGGCCAGCATGACTGGTCATCCTTTAAAGCTCAAGCAGTGCAGGAGTGTTTTGGGCCCCCACACAGAGAGACCCATCTGTTCAGTATCTGCTCAACACAAAACAACCACAATCCCAGCTAACCACCAGCATCACTCTCATCACACACTCACTTCCTTGCTGCGCAGTCATACAAAATGAGAAGCACTGGAAGATGATGGAGGATCCTTTCGGACGTAGGGGTGTGCATATGTATAGCAGATATATTGTGTATATTGCACATATATTGTAGCAGCATTTATTTTAAGGCTTACTTTGATATCGTGTCATCCATTCAAAACCCACTGTGTAAACATAAGAGTACCATGATGTTTAAACTATTAGCAGAAAAGTCGCATAGATTTGGAATACTTTTAATGTGCATTAACAAAATAGAGCAAGAACATTTAGTCTGACACAGTCAGTCAACAAGATTCTCAGAAATGCAAAAGATCTACATTGAAAAAAGGTGCTTTATATTAGTGCACTCTTGATATAAGACAACAGACAAATGTTCTGGTTTAAGAGCATCTGCATGGACATCCACATCTCCTCCAGGTTCTTCGACACACGCTCTGCCTCCTCCATCAGTTCCGGCTGGTCTGCGATGAACCGAAGATGAAGCTGACTCAGAAAGATGGCATTGTGAGGGATAAAAAAAATAAATGTGTCAAAACCCTCAAATTGTTAAATTACTAGATAATGTTTAGATGATTTTTAAATTAAAATGTACAGAAATGAGGGAGACAGTCCACAAAAGGTGCTGAACTATAAACCACAATGGGAAATATTTTCATATAACATTTGCTGCCATCTGCTGTTTAAAAACCAAACAAATCCAGTGTGTCCTAACCAGCAACATTACAACTTAGGCATACATTAATTTGTCTATGCAAAACGCAGTGACAAAATTATAACCAATCAGAACATATCTGATGTTTGTTGGAGCCCTTTTATAAATGTAATTGATGAGACTTTGTTATAAAACTAATTGCATCATTACACTTAATTTGATATTTTCATTATTTTAGGTTCATATAGTTTATAAAACATCACATTGTAATGTTAATTGATACAACAACAATCACTCACTGATGAGAAAAACATTATGACCAGTCACAGGTGAAGCGAATATCGTTGATCCTCTCCTAACAAGGCCACATATTAAACTCTGAATTTATTAGATTTTTAGTAAACAATCAGTTCTCGTAATCAACATGTTGGATGCAGGAGAAATGGACAGGAATAAAGATCTGAGCGACTTTGACAAAGGCCAAATTGTTATGGCAAAGAGAATGTGTCAGAGTATCGCTGAAAACGGCAAGGCTTTCCACAGGGTGTTTGTGGTGAAGGATCAGGCAAGTTAGTGAGGTAGGAAAAGGTAACAGAACATATGCGCAATTTCAGTCGGGTTTCCATCCAAATATTTTGATGTGCATTTAAAAAATACGCATACGATTCCGAAAACGGACAATGGTGTTAAAATGCACGTTAAGGGTTTATTCGCATACTGATGATGTGCATCGAAGTTTAAATATATTCTCTATACGTTGCTTGTCATGCGCTGAAATGTGAATAGCGGTCAAATCCAATAAATCATTGCCAAGACATGGCATGGAACACTTTGAAGCTGCCCCTTTTTTTTTTTAAATACATTATCATAGCAAATGAACAACGTTATCATAACTATTCTTATACAAATTTTCCTGAACATATGTACACAGGTGATAACATTAATATATATATATTTTTTTTTCCACTGATTTATGATATGGGGTCTCCCCCAAATTAGGTGCCAGATCAAATTTCGGTGGTCCCGGATCTGGCTTGTTCGGCACAAATTAAGCCCTATAAAAGATGGCACCAGGATGCACTGTGGGACGATGACAAACCGGTGGAGGGAGGGTGATGCTCTGGGCAATGTTTTGCTGGGAAACCCTGAGTCCAGCCATTCATGTGGACGTAAATTTGACCAGTGCCACAACCAAGTTCATGACAATGGTGTTCCCTAGTGGAAGTGGTCTCTTTCAGAAGAATAATGCACCCTGCCACACACTGTTCAGGAATGGTTTGAGGAATATGATGAGGAGCCTAGAAACATGTGACCATGAGAAGTGACGGTATGCAAGAAAAAGTGAGGGTACGCTACAGATTAAAATATAGAAAAGCCGGTATTGCCCACTTCGATCACTATACACACACGAATACACAAATCATGGTTGGCAACTTTGAGTGAGAGTTTGTTTTCGATAGAAATTTTGAGCCCTTCATTGTTCAAATTTTAATTTCCTCTGGAACTGGATTAAAAATATATATATTTTTTTTTAATCATAAATATTACATAAATGTTATAATAGTATATTATAAATATTTTCAAAGAAAAACCATCTGCTGGAAGTGAGCCCAAATCCACCTACTCCCCCCAAAAAATACATTCCACGGTCTTTATTCAGCTTTATACAGCTATGTGGAACAGGATTTTAGATCAATGATTGACTGTGGACGGGGGATTCCCAGCATATTAGAAAGAAACAGAAACCAAGCAACTGGCAGTCATGGCTAGTTGGGCCAGAAACTAGCAGGTCCTACAATAAGTCGTATAGCTTTGTATTGGAACTAAGAGCCAAAGATAATGTGTTAAGAAGCTTATATTAAAGAGAGTATGTGAAAAAAAAAAAATTCAGCAGATTGCTTATACCGTACCTTGAGGAACAATGCAAGGTAGGATTGAGCCAGGTCAAAATCTCTTTTGGACTGAAGAATGCAGCGGATCATCTTGAGGAAACTCTGCATAACTCTGACATCTCCACCCATATCTGGAGACAGGGCCCGAAGTTCTGTTTCAATGGCAGAGGGGCCCAACTCTCTCAACAGCTTCACTGGCTCCTCGTCTATCATGAGAAAACAGATGATCAACACAGTGAATGTGTTGCAAATTCAAAAGTACAGTCTCATTTCAAATAACAGCATAAGAGACTTACATGAGTTGCTGTCTAACGAGTTCTCAAGCTGAAGGTAGAAGGTGGACTTCTGTGCCAACACTCCCAAGTTGACAACTTTAGACTAAGAAAAAAAAAAGACGACAAATTAAAAATGATCATATATGCATTATATATAAATATACATAATTCATATTCTACTTATATATTATATATAGTTTCAACTATTTATATATATAAAAAAAACACCTTGCAACCTGTACTGTGTGTGCTAGACTAACTGGGACTAGTCACAGTACTTGTATATGTTTGCCCTATTGTTGGTTGGATTACTTCTTTTGTTCTCCTCATTTGTAAGTCGCTATGGATAAAAACATTTGCTAAATGATTAAATGTAAATGTAAACTTACTTGTATATATTTTCCATTGAATACTATACCCAAACTTATACCCCCCGTGTTACATTTTACATACATTCAGGTTTTAGTCCAAGACAAAAAAAAGTTTGAGCTGTTTTAACTGAAAGTAACTTGAATTGGCATATCTTATATCAGTGCCATTGTTTTGTCTCAAGATGCACATCAGTAATGTTTTTTTTTCTAAGGCACGTTAATAAAAGCTACTCAAATGTCCCAATTAAGCTAAGGCCTAAACCTGACTTAATCTAAGCCCCATCTGTGAAACAAGACCAAAGTGTTTTTATTTTTCTGAGACATAAAAAAAAAAGGAAAACTTCTGATTTGTATAATCTACAAATTTATATATTTTCAACAACAATAAATACTATACTGTGGGATTAAAAATGTAAGAATTTGCTTAAGATCTGCTGATCCTACATCCTGGATATAGCATCACATGAAAAACTAAGGTCAACTAGGTGTAATTTGGGCATTCAACCTGAACATGATGGAATAAATTTACTGATTAGATTCAATAGTTTCCAGTAAGGGGATTTGTCAGTCTTTGATCTTCCTACTGAGAGTCAAACTGTGTGTGAATGTTTACAGTCTTAGTGTTACTGTTTATACAATTTGGGGGGTACCATTATCTTCAAAGTTGGGGGTAATCGCCTGTATTGTCTTTAGATGATTTGTTTTAGTGGTCACATCGGCTGTGTAAGGTCAGCACCTTTAAGGACTGCCCACTGACTGCCTATAACATACCTGCCAACCTAGAAGAAATTTTATGAGTACAACCGCGCGTTGTAAAATTTTTACTTTTATGAGTACAATTTTTGTCATTATTTTGAGAATGCAAGACACACACAGACACATGCCTATCTTCATAATTCTAGTTTTGACCTCTAAAGGTTTTTTAATTTGACAAATACAAAATTTAACTTGCACTGCACTCAACACTATTGTTTTATTCATGATTGATATTGTATTCCATATAATCTGTGCTGGTCAATTAGTCTAAAATTAAGAAACCCCTAGATAACAGTCAAAAAAAAAAAAAAACCGTGTGTAGCCTACATGTTATAATTTTAAATTGGCTACTTAATTTATTATTCCAATATACAAATATGATATTAAATCCCACAGGGAAAAGGGCTTATATTTGTGACGTGCTATTTTGACATTTGGACATTAGGCTACAAACAGGACACGCATTAGCTGAATAAACTTTAGCCAATCCAAACATATTTATAGAAAACAGTTAACAATGAATAGACAGGAGTCCTGTCACATGACCAATAATATAAGTTTTCGAATAAGACGAATCCGACATAATATAATGAGGGCTGTTAACAGTAAAGCGTCCGTCATTAACGAATTTTAAAAACACGAATAGATAATACAAAAAGCTTTGACATTTTGACATAAAAAAACACAAGCAAGAACTTTGCCTGTTAATTTTTATTTTATAAATATCTTCTCTCTCTGTGCGCGCGAGTCTGTGTTTGTGAGAGAGCTCGCGCAGCACTGATACATGATAGGCTATCATACAACGGTCATTTTTAATCCACAAATTCACCAACTAACTCGCTAGTTTTCATACAAAATAAATATGTAACATAATTCGGTACTTTAGTTAACATAATACATAACGTAACACATGCGATACGTTTCTCAACACTGATAATGAAAAAATAAACGCCTGTTTCTCCGGATTCGCGCTTATCAGTCATCCACAAATCACAGCACTTTCATAATCACTAAGACATATAGCGATTTCAATTTTATTAGGGCCCAAGCCTTGAAAAGGCGAAGATTTATTGTTCAACATTACTTGAGTATTTTATAATTTGCATGGCTGAATGTCTTCCTCTTATCTGAGTTACCATGAATGAATTACGGAGTATTTTTTTTAAATAATCCATGCGATGACCAATCCCGTTTGATGACCAATCCATTTTAAAATGAACTCAAATACAATATTTCAACTTTCCACATCCACCCCAGCCCGTTTACCTTCAGGAGTTAGAAGTACCGTGACTGTAGGCCGACTGTCCTCGCTTAAATCAGTCAGACCGCGGGCGCGTGGGAGTGGAGCGTGGATCGAGCGGGATTCTTTATTGGTGTCGATTTTCAGTCTCTTTTTAATTATAGGACTTACGCATCTGTCAATCATCTCCGCTTGCAATGTGGGGAATGAACCCAGCGCTATGATTGGTCGAACTCTTCTTCTTTTGCTGTTGCTTGATTTGAGGACTGCGCGTGCAAAGAGGCGTCACCAGGTTTTTGCGTAGTTTAGAGTGACAAATCGTTCCAGCGTACTTTGAGGTCAAAATGCGTGCCCGCTACGCAAAATGCTTACATGTTGGCAGGTATGCTATAAGATACCATGTAAAGTTCCCTTAGTCGGACTTGATGACCGCAGCTACCAACAGCACGTATTCTTAATAAATAATCCTGCTGAAGATACAACCACGTCTCCTGGTCTTCACTTCGGAGTTTCCTACAATACCAAACTCAAGAGACACCATCAAAAGAGAGTTTACCTGGCCCTCTGAGGGTGTGTTTGGTTGCGCAAACTGGGGCACCAGCCCTGGAATGGTGGGAATGAAGAAGGGTGCCGCTTTGGGTAATTTTGGAGGCTCTTTGGGTTTGTTCTTTTTCTGTAGATGAAGATTTTAATTTAAGAGTTTATCAAACATATCACACTTAAGCACAGACTTTTTTTGTTGGTTTTTTTGCTGCTTTTACAAGGATAATACCTTGATGATGTCCAGATGCAGCAGGTTCTTCCAGCGCGAGTCAGGAAGCAGTGAGAGTGTGACCAGATGTTCATCCAGCTGTGCTGGTGAAATGTACTCAGCCATCTCAGAACTGTCAAGGTCTAAACCTTCCTCTTCTTCTGTTTCTGTTTACAAGCACAAAATGTAAAGGATTTAATATCAAGTTAAATGATTTTAAAATGATAATCAATATGATCCTGTGGTTGCACCTTTGCTTGGGCAGGTGCCTGGCAGCATGATCACAGTCGGCTCATAGTCTGCAGGTAGAGGGCGCAATGACACCATACTGCACAGTGTGTTATTGGACCTAGAAATGAAACAGAACAATATTCCTTAGGGAATATAACATATTTCATTGAGCAACTTCTTTGAGTCATAATACTTGGGTCATGACAGGCTATGTTTGGAACAGCACACTACCATACCTATAATTCTATTAAACATCATATGAAATATTGGTAATAGAAAGAAAAAAAAAATATGGTGACACTTTAGTTTAGTTGGGGAACACATATTCACTATGACCTACGACTTTTGCCTCAAACTCTTAATTTATAAATTAATAGTTAATATGGTGATTAAAATCTATGTATGGGGTAGGATTAAGGGATGTAGAATATGGTCATGCAGAATAAGACATTAATATGTGCTTTATACGCAATAATAAACAGCCAATATGGTAGTAATATAATAAATAGTGAGAAAAGGTCCCCAAACTAGTGTTACATAATTATTTATACACCGGCCACTTTATTAGGTACCCCATGCTAGTAACGGGTTGGACCCACTTTTGCCTTCAGAACTGCCTCAATTCTTCGTGGCATAGATTCAACAAGGTGCTGGAAGCATTCCTCAGGGAGTTTGGTCCATATTGACATGATGGCATCACATAGTTGCCGCAGATTTGTCGGCTGCACATCCATGATGCGAATCTCCCGTTCCACCACATCCCAAAGATGCTCTATTGGGTTGAGATCTGGTGACTGTGGAGGCCATTTTAGTACAGTGAACTCATTGTCATGTTCAAGAAACCAATTTGAAATGATTAGAGCTTTGTGACATGGTGGAAGTAGCCATCAGAGGATGGGTACATGGTGGCCATAAAGGGATGGACATGGTCAGAAACAATGCTCAGGTAGGCCGTGGCATTTAAACGATGCCCAATTGGCACTAAGGGGCCTAAAGTGTGCCAGGAAAACATCCCCCACACCATTACACCACCACCACCAGCCTGCACAGTAGTAACAAGGCATGATGGTTCCATGTTCTCATTCTGTTTACGCCAAATTCTGACTCTAACATCTGAATGTCTCAACAGAAATCGAGACTCATCAGACCAGGCAACATTTTTCCAGTCTTCAACTGTTCAATTTTGGTGAGCTCTTGCAAATTGTAGCCTCTTTTTCCTATTTGTAGTGGAGATGAGTGGTACCCGGTGGAGTCTTCTGCTGTTGTAGCCCATCCGCCTCAAGGTTGTGCGTGTTGTGGCTTCACAAATGCTTTGCTGCATACCTCGGTTGTAACGAGTGGTTATTTCAGTCACTGTTGCCCTTCTATCAGCTCGAACCAGTCTGGCCATTCTCCTCTGACCTCTGGCATCAACAAGGCATTTCCGCCCACAGAACTGCCGCTCACTGGATGTTTTTTCTTTTTCGGACCATTCTCTGTAAACCCTAGAGATGGTTGTGCGTGAAAACCCCAGTAGATTAGCAGTTTCTGAAATACTCAGACCAGCCCTTCTGGCACCAACAATCATGCCACGTTCAAAGTCACTCAAATCAACTTTCTTCCCCATACTGATGCTTGGTTTGAACTGCAGGAGATTGTCTTGACCATGTCTACATGCACTGAGTTGCCGCCATGTGATTGGCTGCTTAGAAATTAAGTGTTAACGAGCAGTTGGACAGGTGTACCTAATAAAGTGGCCGGTGAGTATGTATGTATATATATATATATATATATATATATATATATATATATATATATATATAAATATAACAGTTTATTGAACCTTTTGACAAAATACATAAAAAATCTCTCGTGTGTTTATTGTTGAGTATAATATTGGATACACCAGGCTTTTATAGCTCATATTTGAGGGAAAAAACACCTTAATTGCTGCAGATGCTGATATTTATGTGGCCAAACAGTAAGATCAAATTCGGACAGCTTGAAAAGTAAATTAGTGAGACATCAATGAGAAACATTACATCAGACTATTTATATAAAATGCATATAAATATCAGTTGTCACTCTATATCTCTGAATAATGTCCAAGTAAACTGAGAAATACTTTGTTCTATGACCAAAGCTCTGTAGTTTGTATATGCAATATATGTAATGCAATACAATGATAATTGAGAGATGCACAAATAAACATTTCTCAAAAGTCTGATGTATCATATTTGACATACAAATTTTAACATGATTTTCCTAAAACATTATGCATGTATAATCAAGTAAAACCAAGTTGCTTCAGCCCAGTAATTACTCATCTTGAAATATTATTAATACATGTTATTCTTACATTTACTGCATTTGTACTTATATTGGTCTGGTCTGACCTGACCTGACCTGATATTGTGTTGCATGGAAAAAAACATCAATTGGAAATGACATCGGCTTAAGTAAATTACTAAAACTATATAAAAAAAATGCAACATCATGAACTCATTACCCACATAACCTTTTCACTGTTCAGTCATGATGAATGATAAGATATTTGTGCTAATTGTTCACCAAACTTCAACCGCACAAATCTTAATCTCATGTGTGTGAAATAACTCATTGAAGTAGAAACAAGAGTTTACAGACACAATATCTGCAAGGCAATCTCTTACCATAAGTAAACACCTAGGGTGTCAACATGCGAAGAGGCCAGGAAGTTCCCGGTAGGGGACATACTGAGACTGACGGCTGCCGCGTCTACCAGGAAACAGTCGACCAAACTATGAATGACAGCAAGAGAAAGTGGAAGAGTGTGAAAGACAATCATTCAGTCATTCAATTGGGCCAGAGGGGACTTCATCGGCTGGAGGAATCCCCTTTAGACAAACGAAAAATATCCAACAAACTAAATGTCACTACGGCCATATCTATGAAAGATAATAATTATCTCTGAATTTGGTTTCACTAGTTACTTTGAAAAGTATCAGTGACTGACTAAACAGAAAAGGTCATCACAAATATCTAACCAGTCAATAATATAGAAAGTGGAAAAGGTGTCAGTGGACTGGCCTGGTCTTTCCCTCCTTCAAAAGGCTACTTTAGTGGTTTGTAGTGGAACGACCGTGATGCAATCTCACTTACCAATCTAAACAAAAAAATTAGGTTCATGCCTGGCCTCTACAACTTACTTTCAGGGCCAGATTATGTAAATGATAAAAGGGAACTTTCCTTAGACTTTAGCACTTCCATTTTAAAGGGATGTTAACATGGACAAAAAACAACAACATCTAAACATCCTATTGTTAAAATATTTAGAAGCACTCAATTGAAGATTTTTAAGGTTTTGCCAATAAACAATAAATACCTTCAAAAACAGTAAAAATCGATAACATTTTTGACTAAAACCGCATACAATGTAAACGTGCATTTTAGTTGCAACACATCCTTTACGTTCAACAGTATTAAAAACAGGAAGTATCAAAGAGTATCACACAAACAAATTATAGTTGCATTTATTTTAAACAACATTTATCATATACAGCAAGTCTAAACAAATGTATTTATAGCAAAAATCCCAGCGTGTGAGAAATGTGCTATACAAAAAAAGTGGGGTCGGGCACATATGCAATTGCAATAATTGATTTGGAATAAAAGTTGCAGCACATTTCAGATGATAAAACTTCCAGAAAGTAATGAAATTTTTTTTTTATTCTTGAGGGTCACACTTTTATTGTTAACCTCTCATGCATCGAGCAAAACACCATGTCAGCAGAGAAGTTATTTGCATACTGATTAGGGCTGCCAATTTAACATGCTATTGTAATTTATGGGGGGGGAGATACAATTATGTCCAATCCGTATGTACATTTTCCTACCATCCGAACAATTTGAGCTTGAAGAAAAGCCACTTTTGTATTATGTTTTCATCTGCCACAATAATGTAGGTTAATGTCTTTGAATTCTCTTAATTTGGGTGTTTTTACTTAGCAAATATTATATATGCAACAGAAAAGTACAGCGATTTCATCCATTAATTGTAGGGCTCATTGGCTGCAAGTTGAAAAGCCTTGGTTTATGCTCTAAACTTTGTACCTGCCAGATGGAAGATCCCATGTTCTGATGGTGCAGTCCATAGATGCTGTAATCAGCCAACGTCCATCTGGACTAAATGTCTGGACAAAAAGCATAAAGCACACTTCATAAGCACTTAGTTATGCATACTTAAATCACTCACCCAAATATGAAAAGTCATAATTTACTCTCCCTCATGCAAAACCCATACGACTTTCTTTTTTTTTTTATGGAACACAATATGGAAAAAAAGTATTTTGTCCACATTAAGAACCTTAATGGTAACCAGGACCTGTCAGGCTCCAAACAATGACAAAAAATAACCACAATAGTAGTCTAAAGAGTCATTTCAAGTACAAATAATGGTTGAGAATAGCTAAAGACTAGTCAATTTTGAATTATGTAGTTGAAGCTCACCATGTCGTTTATCTGCCCACGATTTCCAGAGAATTTGCGAACAATCCTCCTAGTTTCCATGTCCAGAATGTGAACTGAAAAATTATCCAGCGCGATAGCAAGCATCCCGCTGTTTGGAGAGATCAAGCATAAATCAACATCACTGTCATCCTAACTAGGGCTCTATGACATGGGTGAAACTTGATGAAAAGATATTTCACACCTAGCGTTGGGGCAAAGTCACGCAAGTTTTTTTTGTTTTGTTTTTTTTTCATTGAGGGATTTATTCTGTAAATGTGTTTCCATCGTAGTTTATGTGCATGTATTCTTATCGGATTAAAAAAATATATCCACCTCAATTGAGAGCATGCAATTTTTGTGCGCATTTTTTTAAATGTATGTGCATCTTGGAGCTTTCATCTAGCATTTACAGGTCCTTCTAAAAAAAATAGCATATTGTGATAAAGTTCATTATTTTCCATAATGTAATGATAAAAATGAAACTTTCATATATTTTAGATTCATTGCACACCAACTGAAATATTTCAGGTCTTTTATTGTTTTAATACTGATGATTTTGGCATACAGCTCACGAAAACCCCAAATTCCTGTCTCAAAAAATTAGCATATCATGAAAAGGGTCTCTAAACAAGCTATTAACCTAATAATCTGAATCAACTAATTAACTCTAAACACCTGCAAAAGATTCCTGAGGCTTTTAAAAACTCCCAGCCTGTTTCATTACTCAAAACCGCAATCATGGGTAAGACTGCCGACCTGACTGCTGTCCAGAAGGCCATCATTGACACCCTCAAGCAAGAGGGTAAGACAAAGAAATTTCTGAACAAATAGGCTGTTCCCAGAGTGCTGTATCAAGGCACCTCAGTGGGAAGTCTGTGGGAAGGAAAAAGTGTGGCAAAAAAACGCTGCACAACGAGAAGAGGTGACCGGACCCTGAGGAAGATTGTGGAGAAGGACCGATTCCAGACCTTGGGGGACCTGCGGAAGCAGTGGACTGAGTCAGGAGTAGAAACATCCAGAGGCCACCGTGCACAGGCGTGTGCAGGAAATGGGCTACAGGTGCCGCATTCCCCAGGTCAAGCCACTTTTGAACCAGAAACAGCAGCAGAAGCGCCTTACCTGGGCTACAGAGAAGCAGCAATGGACTGTTGCTCAGTTTTGCATGTCATTCAGAAATCAAGGTGCCAGAGTCTGGAGGAAGACTGGGGAGAAGGAAATGCCAAAATGCCTTAAGTCCAGTGTCAAGTACCCACAGTCAGTGATGGTCTGGGGTGCCATGTCAGCTGCTGGTGTTGGTGCACTGTGTTTTATCAAGGGCAGGGTCAATGCAGCTAGCTATCAGGAGATTTTGGAGCACTTCATGCTTCCATCTGCTGAAAAGCTTTATGGAGATGAAGATTTCATTTTGTCCCCCAGTCCGACTAAAAATAGGTGGATGGAAACATAACTAATGAAAACAACAATAGCACTCATTATGTTTATTATTAAAGGTACACTATGTAACTTGTAGCCCTCTAGGGGTTAAAAAACAACAATACTGCTAGCATTTTGTGGAAGAGCATTGTTTTGGTTGTGCTTCGGCTCTGTCTGACTGTGTGGATGAATATGGTTATCCTACTGCTCATAAAACATTTATTACTAAGAGATATACAAGTTTAGATGGAAAGAATCGCAAGGTTACTATCTGAAGACGTTACTGTAGCTCTACCGATTAATAGACACTGTACTTCCTTTGAAAATAAATTTCAGCACAGCGCTACAACCATAATAAAATGACCCTTCACAATAGATAATGCTTTACAATGAACTCTGTTAGAGCTACATATGGCATTTTATCTCACCTGTCGAGTAATAAAAACCAGCATCTCCGCATCTCTTTTACAACATTTCAAATCCTTCAGTTCTCAACATCTCCTAAAAGCCAAGCCAATGTTGATTCTCTTTTTATTACGAGCTTTGTACCATTCTCTTTTTGGCAGCAGACTCTCCTCTATTCTGCATTTTTTCTCTTCAAATGAAATATACCCTGATTAGCTAAAACATTATGACCACCTGCCGAATATGCTATGGGTCCTCCGCCTGCTGCCAAAACAGTGCAGAATCACAGAGGCATGGCCTCTAAAAGACCCATGGCCTGAAGGTGTCCTGTGGTATCTGGCACCAAGACATTAGTAGGAGATCCTTCACGACCTGTAGGTTGTGAGGTGGAACTTTTTGATCCAGCACATCCCATGGATGATCAATTGGACTGAGATCTGGGGAATTTGGTGGCCAGGGCAACACTTTGAACTCTTCATCATGTTCATCAAACCATTCCTGAATAATGTGTGCAGTGTGGCAGGGTGCATTATCTTGGTGAAAGAGGCCACTTTCACCAGGGAACACCATTGTCATGGGTGTACCTGTGCCCGGTTGCATAAAGCACCTTAAGTTTTTCCCTTAAGTATGATACTTAAGGGGCAATTTACCCTTACCTAAGAGAATAACTTAAGGGTGTTGCATATAATCTCTTAAACGGTTCTCTTAGGTAAGGGAAACATTTAAGTGTTTTACAACAGCGATCCTGGATTCACGTTATAAAAATCTGTTGTTGCCATAGATACGCAAAACACTAACATGTCGGAATATCACGTGTCAGTCCAGTGATGCTATCACGCAACACCGCGTTAGCTCCGAAAGTGCGGATCACCGTCTCATGCTTTTGGCATTTGTTTAGGTTTTGTGAATGCACTTCTGGCTCTGTGTCTCGAAATACAGCTGAGTATATTTCCATAGCATACCTGTTTTCTTCTGTCATGATTCCTTTTAAAACACAGAATCAGCTCGTTCTCCTGTGAATTTTTTTTTCTGCACGGGTCGGCCACACACTCTCCGTGCGCGCACTGACTTAACGTTGTGATAGTTTGCATGCGAGTCGCATGTAATGACAGACAGACAGCCGTCTAGTTTGATAGTGATGTGTCAAATATTGCGCGTCAATCAAATCGGTATTCATGCAACAATTTTTCATCGCTAAATTAGTCCAAAGGGTTCTCCCTATTCCCTATGATCTTCAGCTGGTTCCATAAATTCAGCCATGTCGTCTTACTTTTGTCCGCATTACTCTTAAGGTTACGATTTCCAAACCTTAAGTTATACTTAGGGAAATTACCGTTAAGGGGTTTTATGCAACACTTAACGATTACTTAAGTGAAAAAACAGCATTTAAGGGAAATTCTAAGTGTTTATGACGTTTCACTTAGAAAAAAACGTTAAGTAACACTTAAGGGTATTTTTCTGCAACACCCTTAGGTTTAAGGGAAACATAAGGGTGACCTTAAGGGAAAATTACACTTAAGGTGCTTTATGCAACCGGGCACTGGTCTGCAACAATGTTAGGTAGGTAGGTGGCAGGCACTGGTCAAACATACTTCACATGAATGTCCGGACCCAGGGTTTCTCAGCATAACATTGCTGGCTTGTTGTTGTCTCACAGTAGCCTGACGTCGTCATACTCAGATTCTAGTCAGAATGTGAGTCTGATACTGCTCCATTGGGCTGTGATTATGGGGTGTGTTTTAACCGAACCAGGAAAAAAATGCCTCTGCACTCTATTGGATATTAGCCATTTGTTCATAGATTGTAGTGCTCATAAACAATGAAAATATGAATAGACCTTTTAAAATGTTCTTCCTCATTTTTAATATAGACCAATAGATCTGCAAAGTAATACGGTAATGCAGATTTTTTATATTTCTGAGAATAATTCATCAAAATGTATTTGATTTGTTCATGATAGTTGTTAGTAGACTCTAATAATAAGATTATTGGGAGTTTGTTGTCATAGGGTTATATTTTTTATAATTCCTCAATTTACCCCCAACTCTGTTGTTTTTTTGTTTGTTTTTTAATATTCATTTTTCTGTATAATGGTGTGTTAAGGCTGTTTAATTTGTTGTTGCCTCCCTTATTCCCACATTCTACACTCCAACTTTTCTAGTTTAACATCCATGTCAAGAGTCTTTTTCAAATCTGAAGTGTAAACAACCAGTGGTAAAACAGGAGAGTTGCATGACACTTTAACAGACAGCTGCAGTACAGAAGATTTATTTTAGGGTTAAAAAAAAAGAAAAAAAGAAAAAGAAATCAGTGTTTAAAACTATCCTTGCTGTAGCCCGAGGAATCATCCGTTGTTAAATCACAGAAAACTCTTGGTATACGTCTCCCCCTTGTGTCTTCTAAAAGAGCACAATAATCCTGGTTGTCTGAAATAATCACAGTTAAATCAAATAACCACGATCAGATGGTTATATTTAATAACCACAAAAGCCCTAACAGGTACACCGTAGGGTACTCCTCAAACCATCATATTCATCCTCGCTGAAGAGCTGAGCTGAAGCCCATCTCACGTAAATACCAAAACAATGCTCCGCTTGCAGATTCACGCCACAACCGCTAAAGGGTCAAATCTTCTGTACCATAAAAAGTGTTTTTAAAACTATGCATAATTAATTATGCATTAAAGGTGCAGTAAGCGATTTCTGAAAAACACTGTTTAAAGTGGATCGGACCGAGCACCAAAACCCACTTGTAGCCAATCAGCAGTAAGAGGCGTATACACTCATTAGGGGGGAGGTGCCTGTGTTGCATGGTGTGTTCCTGAATTTGGGGGCGGAGCTATCAAGATAGCGCTTTGATCCTTTTGGGCAGGGGAGTGTTTGTTGTGGGGATTTTAAATATCAACAGCGTTTCTCAGAAATCGCTAACGCAACTTTATTATCTTTAATACCTGTCCCTGTGAAGCTGAGATGAAGCAGGGGTGGCTGGCAGGCTGTGTGTATGTAACAGCTCCTTCGATTTAAACTTCCAGATATTCAGAAGGCAATCTGCTCCCACACTAACAGTCAATTGGTTCAGCGCATCCACAGCGACCCCACGCACAGGCCCTGTATGAGCTGCACACACACAAACACACAAAATGCTATTGAGATCAGACACGTATTTCGCCCCTGATGTTCAGGATGAGGTTAACTCACCCTTGTCCTCTCCGTAATATCCTTGATGAAAACCAGACTGCATGTTGTACACATCAATGTGTCCTGAAGATAGTGCAATCACTGCAAAGTTCCCGCAGGAGGTGATATCCACAGCCTGGACAACATATGACCAAAGCTGATTTGTAGTCATCCGTTACATAGCTAAATGATCATGTAAACATATACATCACATCTACACACTTACGGTTGCGTGAACATTGACGATAAGGTTCCTGTCAAGGCGTTCAGGCTGCAACCTGTGAGCACCCATTGAACCTTTCTGGTAATTCCACGTCGTAGTCATAAGGAAACCACGGTGGCATGCAATAATGCCATCCCAGTCACTCTGACGAGCCGTTTCTATACAAAATAACATCAGCAGCATAACACAGTTATGGCTTTCAATATTTTAGTTGTAATGAGTTATTTATAAGGTAATTCTAACACTGTTTTGGATATAGAGAGAGGATCAGAGTTTAAATTAAAATTCTGCCATCATTTACACACCGCCATGTCGTTCCAAACCAATAAGACTTTCATTGTAATATTCACCAATTACCTCTTAAATAAGTCAGTTAAACTGTGCATTGCATGTAGCCCCTGAGTAAAATAAGCAAACCCATTATCATTCTGCTATGAACATAATTGTCCCCCCTGGTGAAAGCGCACAGCTGAAAACAAATGAAGATATTTTAAGAAGTTCAATATTTTTTGAAAGTCCAAACATGCATGCATGACTCGTGTGAAACTATGAGGTTTGTTCTCACTACAAACATGCATGATTGAGCTTCCGTTTGCCACATTTGATGTGCTCTATGCATGTGTTTTGATCAATATTTGCATGCGAATTAAAGCCTAAATTAAATCTGTTCATCATATAAAGTGAGACTTGGAGTAAATCACTTGATTAATAAGGATTACTTATACAAATGTCTTTATGTACTTTTTGAAGCTTGAAAATTTTGGTTGTGTGGACTTTCAAATGAATGAACAAAAATAATGTTTTGTGTGTTCTGAAGATGAAAAAATGACATGAGGGTGAGTAATTGATGACAGAATTTTAATCTAATCATTTTAAAAACATACATTATCACCGGTAATTTAAAAATGAAAGCATCATCACCTGAGGCAAAAGTTGTGATGGCCGGAAGTTTTTCTATGTCGTTCCTCACACCTTTTTTTTTAGCTTTTGTTTTGTTGAGGGTGCCTGTTGGTTAAAAAAAAAAAAAGAATTAAAAAAAAAAGTATATTACAAAACAGATACTACTTGGGGCAAACCAAGGTGACATCAATTGTCTTTATAACGAAACAAGCCCATAATTAAGGGTTACGGTAATACTTAAAAAAAATTACAAGAATATTTTTTACTAATTTAATGGGCAAGAAGGCGATTTTAGGCTGACTTTGTGAAGACTGTTTTAAAACAGAGTGCTGTTTGTTTAACTGACAGATATAACTGACAGATGGTGTGAATTTGAAGGTGGGGCTACCTGTAATAAGTAGTTTTGCAAATAATTGACTTGATAGTTTGAATGATGCTATTACTAATAATCTGAACAAACTCAAAATTATTAAACTTAAAAAGTATAAAAATATTCAACTTCAAGAACACCCTAGCAAAGCATTAAAAACCACTTCAGAAAATGTACAAATCTAATTATTTTTATGCAAATCTGTTTGGTACTGCTAGTCATAAATGCATTACACACTTTACCTTTACATGCACTAACAAGAAAACGGCAAGTAGTTATTACCGTGCCCCAAACTCTTGTTGAACTTTTCATGAACAGTTGAAAATGACTGCAAAGTACCATCTTGACCTATTATGAGAAGTAAAAATATTAAGATCATTATGCTTAAATACATTTATCTGCGCTTATACGCCTTTATATATTCATAATGTACTGCTTATGACAGTACCTGCGCTAAGAATTTGAGAGCCGCTCTGGTCATGGTGTCGAATCTTTGTTGGTGGGGCGCTGTGACCAATCCGATGTCTTAGAAGACGGCCGTCTCCTCCGGAAACGTCAAAAATCCACACCTACGTCACACATTCCATTGTTTACTGGCATAATACACATTCAAATTATACCGTCACATCTGAATAATTTACATTATGAAAAACAAGCCAGAGCAAACACAAACCCGTATGGCATTGTCCGCTCCGTTAGTGATCAGGAGGGGTTCATTTTGAAGAAATGTGAGGCCGGCAATGGCTGTTGTATGAGCATCTCGCATTTGACAGACTAGTTTCTTCTCCTCTAAATCCCACAGCCCTATGTGTCCAATAGGACTGCCAGATGCCATTATTGGATGCCCATCTGCATGGCAAGGACAAAGTAAGTGCAATTTAATTGGAAAAGTATTATATACACTTTGTGAGGCCTAGGCAACAACATTACCTGTCCTGAAGGATAAAGCTGTGACTGGACCCCAGTCTTGTTGGAACTTCATCAGTGTTTCATCAAATCTGATATTGTGCATGATGATCTGGCCAGATGCTAAACCCACACCCACAACATCCACAGCTGTAGTCTAAAGACATTCATATCGACAGAACACATTACACACTAGTTATCACACAAAGAAATCAATTTTAGGTGCCAAATAATTGTTTAGGTGTTACATAATAAAAACCATTTTACATTTTTTAAACACTTAATTTCAGCCATCCTATCATGTGATTACATCTTTCCCCTCATTTTACAGCATCAGCATTTTCATCCATCTTGTGGATGTCCTGGGAACTAAGGTTCACTTAAAGTGGAAACTTGAACATCTTTTCCAACTTGAGATTTATATACAGTCACAAAGAATTGTCCTTAACACAGAATCTGAGCCAGTGTTACAGACCATAATTATGTCAGTATCACTTGGCCACTCAGTGTAATTTGGCCTCCATCAATGCATTCTATAAATGTTGTCTTGTACACATCCAGTCCACTTTTCTTCATTAGTAATATCTGAGAAGTTAATGTGTTGAAAGGCAGCTCTTCACATGCTATCATTTAGGCAGTGTTGATTTTTATTTTGAGCTCTTTTTATTCTCTCTCATCATGTAGACAACAGGTTCAAGTGTAACGTTTGCCGATTTTCAACCTGCTTTGTATTGTTACGATGTCGGTAGTATATGTAAATGAAAAAAACACATCATTCAGCAGAATTTTGACAGCTCCAGGGCTTTCGTGAAAACTACAGATTATTATACTTCCACATTTTTGTATCCTTTGCAATTTTTTTTATATCATAACATGTACATTTATATTGTCGCCAGTGGCGATCTTAGCAAAAATATCACTCACAAATTAATATTTTTGTTCGACCATTTTAGCCGGAGTCTGTAGCCCTGTCATTGACTGAACTATTAAAGAAGTCATGGTTGATGAATCGTCCACCAACTGACTTGGTTTGAACTTAAATATCTTTTTATTTAAATGCTGGAAAAGGTATGAAAACATCCCTGTAAAAGGGACGCAACATCTTTTAGAGGATTTTATCATCTTTGATAGTTTTGTGCAAAGGTTACAGATATTCAGTGCGTTTATTTGTTTTAATATCAGTCAGTTACTCGACTCTACCACGTTCGTGGATTCTGTTTTTGAATTAGTCAATTATGAATAGGTGTAGTTTTAAATGTGCACAGGATAAAGAATAATAAGAAAGAAAGTAACGAGACCAACCTGTTGAAGAACAGTTACAGCAGATGCCCATCCAGGAAATGTGAACAGGAGTTTGCTGGATTAAGAGAGGAAGATTTGTTTTATTATTTCAAACAACATTAACAAAAAGGTCATCATTGAGAACAATCATCATTTGGAATAATGAGAATTGACCCTTCGCTAAGCCCCGCCCTCCTTAGTTACTGTTGCTACGCCTGTCAAGCTTGCGCGGCTGCCACGTCTATTACAGTGTGAATGCACCGGTGTCAGGCATTCCCTAGGAGATAATTAGTCATTTTTGGCCAGTATAATCGGTCCGCCGAAACTCATCCAGTGAGAAACGTTCCGCGGTGCAAAAATAAGTGCGATTAAAAATATTTTTTTTGTGTAATTAATTAACGCGTTAAAGTGTGTAATTAATTAATCTTAATTAACGCGTTAAAGTCCCGGCCCTAATTATGAACAAAGAACCGCCATTATTTCCAAGCAATAGGCGTTTTTTTGTTTTGTTAATCCTGTCGACATTTAGTTGTAAATGGGTCTCCACACTGCTTGATCCACGCCCGGGATTTCTCCCCTTTGGCTTTTAGGTTTCGGGAAGAGAAAAAATGCCACCCCACCGTCCAAACTTTTAGAATCCCGGGTATCAGATTTGCACAATCCATACGCATAACGCGTCGGCATGTTTCCCTCGCTCGAAAGCTTGACAGACCTCCCGCGCCTAGTTACGGTTGCTAAGCCACGATTGGCCAGTGGCGGTTTTTGGGCGTGGCTTAGCGAAGGGTCAATTACAAACAAAATAGAAAAAATTTGCATTGTGACAGAATTTCTCCTTTTCATCTTTAAAAACTTTTCGGAGTGGAATATGACTTTGGTGAGCTTCAACTCGTAAGTAACAGTGCTACCAAAAATGTTTACTGTAATGTCATTATAAGCAATGCAAATACTCAAAAAATAATCTTCATACCATTAATCTACAATTTAAAGGCACAGAGCACACTTCAACTGTATAAACACTAACTTTAAATGTCATGGAAGCCACTAATATCACCCACTACATTCAGCATTCATTAGAAGTGCATACTTTGATTTGATGTTCCATAACTGAAGACTCCCTTGACTGCTTCCGAACAGGATTTTGTTCAGGTAGGTGCTCGGGTGCATCAGTGCAGAGACCTCAAATGATGCTTTGTCATATGAAATCTGCAGGTATGTGTCTGCAGTGAGATTGACAGAACATATTACCTACACTGTAATTCTGCTGAAAGAAATGAAATTTAAACATAGCAAAAATAACAAACCAACCTTCAGACGCGACATCCCAAATAATGACAACATTGTCCTTGTCGACAGAAATGAGATGATCTCCAAAAGGCAACAGTAAGTGAACATCAGCTTGATGGCCTTTGTATGTGTTAACAACCTGGATGGAAGAGACAGTAAAAACATATTACTTATGACTAATCCTTATTTCAAAGTCTCTTTAGTTTTATGCATCTTTAAAGGTGAAGTGTGTAGTTTCTGCGACACTAGTGGCCTAGCGGAGTTACAAAAACAATGTTTTCATACAACCACGCAAATTGCCCTTCAGTGAGTAGTGATTCGTGCCTCGCCAACTCAAAATCACAAACAGCTCTTACAGGTGCTCGTGAAGGCATGTCTCAACAGGAAAAAGCAGGCTACTTTCAATAAAATATTAGGAAAACTTTTATCTGTGTTGCTATGTGTCATGAGTCAGCAAATGAGTAGGGCTAATACCCTGCATACTTAGTGCACACGAGTATTTTACGTGTATAAGTGAATAAAAGCCTAAATTAAATCTGTTCATCATATAAAATGATCAAGTCTCTTCAGAAAATTTGGACTAAATCACTCAATTCATATAGATTAGTTTTACGATCTCATTATGAACTTTTTGAATTGACAAAGTGGTAGTTGCGTAACTGTTAATGGAGGAAAAACATTAAAAAAAAACATCTTTATTTGTGTTCTGAAGATGATTTGGAACGTCTTTACGTGTTTGGAACAACATGAAGCTTAGGGCTGTGATGGTATGGGATTTTTTCTTACCGCGGTGAAGAAGCAACAAATCTCGCGGTTTGGCGGTTAACCGAATGAAATGAAATCGATTGTATCGTCCTGTGGAATAATTCATTCACAGACAGCTTACAAAGATGTTCAACTAATAAAGATCTTCATCGCTGGCAAAAATATGATGCATTTGCAGATTTGCTTTCACTAGACTGGTCCATGGCCACTTCATCCAACGCTCTTGATGTTCTTAAATCTTCCTGTTACGACTCCGAGTCGAGTGTGAATTGAAAGCGCTTCAGACGATTCAGTGCGTGCAGGAACTGAACAGATAATTGAAACTGATTCGCGAACCGATTTAAACAGATCTGCTAACTTGTTTGATGAAGTCTTTAAACAGAATCGACTCAATAGAGTGATTCATTTGTGAATTGAGCATCGCTCATGCCCATAAAAAAAGATACAGCGCGCTTGGAATAAACTACACATTTAACAACATGTATTGCATTAAAATAAAGTAACGAGAGGAACGTAACGCCCAACGTAACGAAGCAAAGAACAGAGAACTTTCAGCAGAAAAAAAAAGTGCGGTGATGATCTCACACCGCGGTAGGCATCTCATTAACGCGATATTGCGGTGATGCGGTTATCGTCACAACCCTAATGAGGCTGAGTAATTAATGACAGAATTAACATTTTTGGCCGAACTATCCCTTTAAACACTCTCTGGCTCGGCCTGCTACAGTAGCCACGCTCCAAACTTTCGCTATAGGTTGAGCTGGTAAGAGACTGATGGATCTGAGCGGACCGCTCTCAGTGTTTTGATGGTGCCTGGGAGGCTCAATGTTTACACTTTTGGGGAGAAAAACCCATGAATGGCATACTAATAGTAGTCAATGAACAATAAACTGGGTTCAGAAATATATTTATATATATATAAAAAAAATCTTACATAGGCCTACTTCACCTTTAAGAGCACAGTAGATCACTAACTATGAACTTTCATGCTTTACCTCTTTGCTTTTTGCAAAAGCTGAGATAAGTTTTCCATATGCAGCATAGACAAGCATACGATCTGCCGCCAGGGATGAAATTTCTTCTGGCAGGGCATTACCTGTATAGGTGGTTAATACAAGTGTTTCAATCTACGGTAATACATATGGGAAACTATAATTGTTTGATCATGTATGTGCAGAAAATGTGCTGTAATCAGGAAATAAATGTACTGAATCCTACTTACTGACTGCGACGATTCCAAGTTTCTTTACCTGCCAGAAAAAAAGATGGGTTAATTTTATATTGCACTGAATCTGTCATCATTTACTCCCCCTCATGATTTTCCAAACCCGTAAGACTTTCGTTCATCTTCGGAACACAAATGAAGATCTTTTTGAAGAAATCTGAGAGCTTTCTGTCACTCCATAGACAGCTATGCAAATAGCACGTTTCAAAAAGTTTCTTTATGAAATATTTATGAACTTTTTGAAGCGTTGAAGTGGTAGTTTTAGCTGTCAATGGAGAAACAGAAAGCTTTCAGATTTCATTAAAAAATATCTTAATTTGTGTTCCGAAGATGCACAAAAGTTTTACAGGTTTGGAATGATATTAGGGTGAGTAATTATTGATCAAATGTTTATTTTTGTGTGAACTAACCCTTTAATTAATAAAAAGCCATATTATATGAATTAAGTTATTACAACTTACAATTATTAACAACTTATATTGCTTTAATTTGAACACCATATTTGGTTGATTACTGTATCTAGAAAAGTATGGCTATGCGAATAAATACTGAGTAATATCAATACTGAACAACGTAGCCTATATGAACAACATGAATACATGTAACAGTGCAACATTACAAAATAATGTGGCCAAATTTTGCACAAAATTAATCTGTCACTTTGAGACAAAACAAAAACAATAACATGCATATCTAAACCGATTTTATTAGTGGATAAACTACTGGTATTGTTTGTGCTACCAAAAAAAAGCAACTACGGTGGTTGGTAACTGAGTTCCTGCGTGGTGATACAATGATGGCAATACTATGGTGCATTTACTGAAAAGCTTTTTAGAGTTTACCTTGCTTTTGGACATGGTATCATGGTACAACTATCGTATTTTAGACATTTACAATGCTACTATGGTATTCTTGGACAAATCATGATACATAAATCTCACAATCACTGTAAGTTACAACTTGCGCTTTGATATAAACCAGAGCACAGAAATTCATGCACAAAGGAATTTACATTGTATATGGTGAATTCAAGGATACTATGGGTCTCACATGCATGGTAGGCTAACGTTACTAAGTTAAACTTTTAAGCTATGCACCATGGATTTTAAATGATTCTCCCAAATACTTTAATAACGGTATTACCACTGAAGAGGTTCAAAACAGGTTAGACACTAAGAACATAGCATGACATATTTTTATAAAGAGGTTGTTTTGACTAACTTCCATTCATTGAATTCGCACTTACATTATATGTGTGGAAACACTGTCCGACTGCAGTGACCACATAGAACTCTCTGTGTTTCTTATGGAAGCGAAGCACGTGCGCCAGATGATTCGAGTAATTCCCCAGCGCCCTGAATCCAGAGAAGATCGTGCTTCCTTTCTTACCCGCAGACATATTGCTCATGTATTTTCACCCGTAGAACTCTAAACTTCACTGACTTTGCACGGAATTCAAGTAAATGTTAACACCGTTTCCCCCACATTTCTGTATCAGCACCCGATGCTGTCAAATTGTGTTACATTAAACACGGTTCGTCAGGAAACTCTCTACAATGGGTTCCTACTCACAACAACATCAATCATTCAATTTTCAAACATTTTTACCTACATTGCAAAAAAAAATAAAAAAATAAAAAAAATTGTTAAAAAAAGAGAACACACTGCATTACTGAACGATTTTACTGAACGATTTCACTGCATTACTGAACGAGTTTCCTGACGGTTCGTCAGGAAACTCTCTACAATGGGTTCCTACTCACAACAACATCAATCATTCAATTTTCAAACATTTTTACCTACATTACCTACACGGTTCGTCGGGAAACTCTCTACAATGGGTTCCTACTCACAACAACATCAATCATTCAATTTTCAAACATTTTTACCTACATTGCAAAAAAAAAAAAAAAAAAAAATTTGTTAAAAAAAAGAGAACACACTGCATTACTGAACGATTTTAAAGGCATAATTCTTTATTTTCATAAACATTGTTGTCTACATGGGCTTATATATTAGTTGGATCTGTTAATATAAACATTTAAAAATGATGAAAAAATAAAAGAGACTGGCACAGTGCATACCATAAGACAAACATTTAAAATAGTTAACTGTTCAGCAAATATTTGACAATATAAACATTCATGCTGTGCACACTGTGCAGAACAAATACAATCATCCATCTATCAATCCATTTTCTTAACAAGTCCTGTGGGGATTCTAGAACAGATCAATCAGCTTAGACAGTTTTTTTTTAGGTTATAGTAACAAATTTAAACATATCGGTTACTGGCTGTTTTGCAAGTTTTCTTGCATAAAACCACACCAGCATTTCCGGAAGGATTTAAGAGAGCAATGACTCGGCGATTTTAGGGTTGGTCTTTCGGTACAGGTATTCTGAAAAAAAAAAAAAAAAAAAAAAATCCATACATGTAAAACCTTGATAATTACAATTTTACAATGTAATAACAACATTACAAAAAAATAACAGAATAATTCAAAGAAATAAAATGCTTTTATTCTGAGTGTTAAAATTAGCAATTGAAATGTAACACATTTGTTCTTACACTGCTGTCTCTTATCATCTCACGAATGCGCTCCAATTTTCGACAGTTTTCATCTAAAGCCCAGTCTAAGATGCATGTAATGTCTTTTGTATGTTGTTTCTGTAAAAACAATTAAGTAAAGGCAAAATTGTAACATTCCGTTAACACTTAAAGTCCTTATGTATAATGCATTATAAAAGTATTGTGTCTTGTAATGCATCTTATAATGCATTGTATGGTCTCATGAATGATTGTAACCACTGTTATAATACACTATAATACTTATCTATTCATTGAACACACCTTTAGAAAGTATAACGCATTAAAACACCTAACAAACAACCAATTTCAGAATCTGCAAATATTATAATGCATTTTAACTATGATTACAATTATTTATGAAAATATATAATGTATTATAACGTACATTACAAATACCTTTATAATGTATTATACATAAGGGTAAAGTGTCACCAACATTTTTATTATCTTTTTTATTTCTTTTTTTAATGCTTTTGGAAAATAAAATTAAGTAGGCAATATTGAAATGTATATTGAAATTTATTTATTCTGGAAAAAAGGCTGCATGTGAACCATAACTTACCAGGTAGCGACAGGAGATGTTATGATTCTGGCAGGGAAGAAATTGCAGATTTATTTTACCTTATGTCAATAAACAATCATTAAAAAAAATAAACATTAAAATTACAGCATAAAGACTTACCTTCAAATGAGGATGTATAATATTATAGGCATCATTTTGAATTATCCGGAGGCATTTTATATTTGGCCATTTTTTATTTGACCTGACAAAGTGTAATGTAAGAACCACAAGGAACAACTCTGTAAAAAAAATGTTAAGAGGTAAGAAAAAAAAATTATCATGACATATGCTCAGTAAATAAATGCAAGTGAAATAGCTCTTACTACAAAGATTTCTGTTGTTCATCTTTTAACACTAATGCAAATCACAGAAGACGCCTCTTTTATAGACCAAACGCAGTGCAAGATTTACCTCAAGCATGACTTTGTGACAGATAAATGGCTTCTACGTATAAGGACTTATTACACGATGACTCAAATCTCATTGCTTGTCTTCACCCCACACATTTTCGTAGGAATTCCACAGTTGTGACCAAATCATCCAGAAACTATAGGCAGGCAAAACAGGGTTTATGTATGGATTTTTTCAACAGTTTATTTGGCAATTCTAAGCATTTACGCAACAACAAATATTCGAACGCAATATTCTATGGCCTATTCGCTGTGGTGTTTCAAACCAGGTTTGATAAAGATCACTATAGCTGTCCCACAACATAAGATTAGAAATGATACAATCTCATCTAAACTTTTTTTAAGAACCAAAAAACACACACAGATCCAAATCACATTTTTACAATTTGGCTGACACAGAATAAGATTAGAGTTGATACAATCTTGTATAAACTTTTTTTTAAGAACCAAACACACACACACACACACACACACACACACACACATCTAGTTCGCTATCTTTGTGGGGACTCTCCATAGACGTAATGGATTTTATACTGTACAAACCGTATATTCTGTCCCCTTGCAGGCTTACATTACCCTACCCCTAAACCTCGACCACAGAAAACCTTTTTTTTTTTTTTACTCATTGATTTCTAAGGTTTTTTTTTTTTTTTTTTTTTTTTTTTTTTTACTTATGGGGACCTCACTTTAGGTTCCCACAGTGACACGAGTCCCCTTGAGTCATGTGGATTCAGGTTGAAGTCCCCACCAGGATAGAAAAACACAACCACACACACATACATACACATACACAAATCAAATTGCAACCCTTCTGGACCACACAGGTAAAATCTCACAAAGTAAGATTTTTAAAGTTTGCCTTAAACTCAAAATGTATGTTTTCTCTAGCACTGGCCTTGTGTGTTGGTGAAAATAAGAATATTGTATTGGGGTTAGTTGTCACGGCGTGTTTATTTAATATTTTGATGTTATCTTTTAAATTTGCTGCTTCATAATCGTTTAATGGCAGGTTCCCTTTGGAACCCCATATACTGTGACAACATGCCCCTGTGACAACTACTGAAAACCATTCACTGTTTTTTATACGTTTAACAACTAGCCCCAGTCTAACTAAAGCTTTGCATTCAACTTTTCTCAATAATGGCAATGAACAAATATTGACAAGATAGGTCTGCTTTACACATTTGCTTCAAAAGTTACAGGATAAGACCAAAAAAAAAAAAAACATCGGTAGCTGCATCTTTCTGAAACCTAGTCAACAGTGAAAGACATACACCACCTGTTTAAACATAGAGGTCCATACGATTTTTTTATGTTTTTGAAAGACATCTCTTAACCTCAACAAGGCTGCATTTATTTGCTCAAAAATACAGTTAAATGTAATGTATTCGTCATGGCAGAGCTGAAATTTCAGCATCATTACTCCAGTCTGTGTCACATGATCCTTCAGAAATCATTCTAATATGATGATTTGGTGCTCGAGGAACATTTCGTATTATAATTCAATTCAATTCATAAAACGTTATTCTATTACCAGTGATAGAAATTTGTCTTAGGTTAAAAGGCTCACATATACACACATACAATCATCACAAAACACACTTAATCCAAAGAAAGTACCTTACAAATGTGTAATAAATAAAGGCTTAAATACATTATACTAATAAAACTATTTGTTCTTATTTAAAATAGAAATTGCAGTAGGAATAAAAGAGTTCCTGTAAGCTTTCTTTTTGGGCAAAGGAGCTCTAAATCCGCAACCTGATGTCAGTAACTGAAAAGAGGAGTACAGGGGATGAGAGCGGTCAGGAACGATGGAGACTGCTTTCCTCTTTACTGCACAGTTATAGACATCTACAAGTTGAATCTGTGGGGCCCCAATCATTTTAGATGCCTGTTTGATTACTCTGGATCATTTTTGCTTGTTTTCAGAAAGAAAATTAAATCAGGATGCAATATTAAAGGTCATAACTGATTCAACAAGAGAATGATACACTGCTGTCAAGATATTGTCTTACATTAAAACCCTTCAACCTTCCCAAAAGAAATAAGCGCTGTTGAGCCTTCTTATAGACGCTATTCACATGCTGAGTAAAGGATAGAGGCCAATCAATCTTAGTGCCCAAAAATGTGAAGGTCTCAACTTGTTCCACTACCAGCCTAAGTGGTTCAGATAGTGAATGCAAGCCGGTATTTGATGAACGAAACCTCCAACAACACAACTCCTTCGTCTTACTAATATTCAAACCCAGAGTACTTTCTTGGAACCTTTGGAGCATAGAATCAACATATTGTCTATATGTGACCAGGGACTGCTCATCTGTTATGCAAGCCACCAAAACCATGTCATTAGCATATTTCAAAAGTGACATACCATTAATATCACACTTGCTTTCATTCGTATATACAGAAAATAAAATAGGCGATAACACGCAGCCCTGAGGAACCCCCGTATTTACACTAATACTATTAGATTTAATTCTGACATGTCTATCTTACTTAGTGATAGGTCTATCTTTTAAAATCAATGTTTAAAAACAGTTGTGCAGCTATTTTATTGTGGAAACTGTGATACATCTGTGAAAGAACAGCATATATTTGAATAGAAATAATTTATCATAAATGTCTTTACAGTTACTTTTGATTAAAATTACTATCCCCAAACGTTTGAACAGTAGGCTACATTTTTATTGCAACATATGTAACATGAAATGCAGTAAAAAAAAAAAAAAATCACATGAAACAGATTGTAGACATTTATTTTAAAGCATGGTGCCCAATAATTTAGAACTTAATCATTTACTCACCCAGGAACCAAAGGTACATTAGTTTTACACATGCAACCTTGTGTACATAATGGCTTCTATTCAATAAATTGAATTTTTTATCTCTTATATCTTGTTAAACCTGGCAAATAGAAACATTTTCACTTTTTAAAACACTGGCACAATTTCACTAAGGTGC